CAGGGAGGGGAACAGGAACAACAGCTGGGAGAGGGTGAGTCTGAGGCCACTGAGTCTGGCGGGGAGCTGGAAGCATATGGGCCTGTGGTTCAGGAGACAGAGCCAGCCTGCGCGGAAAGAAGGGAACACAGCAGGCCCGAGGCCGCCGTCCTTAGAGACACCTGATGGCACGGCTGGCCCTTGGCTGGTGTCTGGGACCTCGGCTCTCAGGGTGTCCCCGTCACCAGTGAACCGACAAGGCTGGTTTTCCGCGCCTAGACTGTCTGCGCAGTCCCTGTGGTTTATGGTGGACGCCGGCTTTCCTTCCGGGAGTCTGGCGTGTTGCTGTGTGCCAGGCGGAGGGCGTCCACATGCGCAGCCCCCGGATACAGCCCTGAGCTCTGAGTCTCTCCTGGGCGTCCCTGGGCTGAAACCTCGCACGCGTGTGGCTGCATTTTCATTGCTGGGGAAGAGCGAGCTCCGTGCAGCGCCCGTGGGAGGCGGAGAGCACGGAAGCCTCACATGGATTCTCTGGACCCGCCTGTGTCTCTGTCCCTTATGATTCGGCCGGTATCCTCAGCATGTCTCTAATAAATCTCAGCCATGAGCACAGCTCGCCCTGAGTCTCGGGAGTTCTAGCGAATCTCAGAATGATGGGGTGGTCTTGGGGACCCCTGACAGTCTCAGGATTTAAATTTGGGAGTGATCAGCATGTAGGAAAAAACCGTAACCACGTGACCGTAAGAGATTTCCGCCCCCCGCCCCCCACCCCAGGAAGAGTGAGTAGGACCCTGAGGATCTCCGCAAGTTAGGAGTGAGCAGGGGACAGGAACCACGAAGGAGGTGAGGACTCAGGCAGCCGGAGAGAGGAATGTCTGCAGACTTAGCAAGGTCACTGACGGCCTTGGCCAGCAGTCCTGTGGGCAGTGGTGGGGAGAGCTGGCTTGTTAGGGGGTGAGGAGGGTGGAAGGAACAGAGAGGGACGTGGGGAGGTGTAAACATATTGTTTGTAAGACAGAAAAACAACTTGGTCACTTGTTTTCTCATGTATTAAGTGTCTGCTGCATGACAGGCTCTAGGCCAGACGTGAGTGATGCAGTGAGCACAGGGTGTGGTCCAGACCTCACGGAGTCTGTGGTCCAGCTGAGTGTTTGAAAAGCAAAGTGCACAAGGCCGTGCGGGTGTTGCATCTAACCCGAGGGCTTCTTTGACTAAGTGACCTTGAATCTGGGAACTGATGAATAAGTAGGAATGTGTTGAAGTCAGGGGAGTAGAAAAAGGGAAAAAGGTCATTTCAGGCAGAGGGAAGAATATATATGGGCTGAGGACCTAGAGAAGGTGGAGGGCTCTGGTTTCTAGAAGGGATTGATTCTGACTGGCAGAAATACCTCAACATGTAACAGAAAAAGGAAAAGAGGTTAGGTTTTAAAAGAATAGATAGAGCTACAGGTAAGGCTTAGGACGGGCGGTAAGACACCGAGCTTTCTTGTATGATGGCTTTCATTCTCTCGTGGGGCAGGGTTTTGTTTTGTTTTGTTTTGTTGTTTTCATCCCATCCCTGTTCTGAGACCTAGTGCATTTGGGGGCTAGAAAAATAGAAGGGATCTTTGGTAATATAACACAAGATGGAGAAGAGGGAGACATTCTTTCAGCATCGTAACACACCAGAGATGGGCGAGCATGGGAGAAAGGCTGCTGTCATTGTTGTTCTTGGTTCTGTTCCCAGGAGGGCTTTTCCACCTCCCCTTCTTCCACCCTGACATCTGAAGTTCAAGCTCCCAGCAGCAGTGAAACCAGACAGAGTGGAATAACTGATCAGTTATGTCAGGGGACAAGCACAAGGAAAGGCATTACTCTGGGTGGGCGGTGGAGAACAGAGGGGTGGGCAAGGATGACGGGGTAGGGACTCCTGGAGGCCTAGGACCTGGCGTGCTGTGCCCTGGAGGACCTGGGAGACTCATTTAATAAGGTCCTGAATCTCCGCTCTCCGACAGACTTGATAGTTACTGGAATATGCCTCTTGACTCTAAAATAAGGCAGAATCAGGATGTTCCTCTAGACTCGAGTCCGTAGCCTGACCTGTCAACAGCGAGACCGTGTCCCCTCTCTCCTCGTATCATGGGAGATGCAGTGTTGGGTTCTGCTGCGTAGGTGGTGGTGAGGTCTTCCACTCACAGCAGGATCATGAGCTTGTGAGGAGAGTGGAGAAAGTGGACGATAATCTTGTAGAGAAGCAGCAACAGAGCCGACGAGGGAAGCCTGTGTGGGTGGCTGGTCAGAGCTTCCACTGGAGATGCCAACTTCACGGTGGTCCCACATGCTCGGGGGTGTGGAGCCCGGTTGCCAGAGTCACGATGGCGAGCCTCAGGCAGAGGGTGGAACGGTCTTCGTGGGCTCTGCTGTGGAGCCCCAGACAGTCAGTGGGGCAAGGAAGGTGGGAACGTTGGAAGATCGAACTTGAGGTGCTGGAACACGGACTTTAAGCACACAGGAAAGAAGAAACAGAGGCAGAGGCAGAGAAATAAAGATGGGGATGTGTGTATGGGGGGCCGTCAAGGATCTGGGGTCCCTAGAGTAAGTGTAAGGGGAGCAGTGAGAGGTTGGGAAGGGTCGTAAATTGTGGTTGGGGGGCAGGATGTTTAAATCTATGACCTCAGAGGTGGAGAGGTTGTGAGGAATAAATAAGCAAGCTCAGGATGTGGTCTTCGGAGGCCCGCACTGACCTTCGTCATCACCGGGTCCCTCTCTTTGATGCGACATTCACACGGCTTTTCTCTCTCCTTTTAGCCTCGGATGCACCTCTCATCTCAGCTACGCTTTTTCCACTTTCTGGTCCAGCAAGAGAAACTCACAGCATCTTTTCTTACTTCCGGAGAAATTTATTCCACATGTGTCTGATTCATTTGCGTTTACAGAAACTCGACATCTCCAGTGTCCAAAAACCCTTTCAACTATTTTTTTCTTCCCTTTCTTAGAAACAGGAAGTTGTGTTTGGCTGAGGGCAAACTCTTCCAGTGCCCCTGGGACTTACAAGTTGTTTGGAATGAGGAACGGTGAGGGCTGGGGAAGACTCTTCTCTCCTTTCCTGGGGCAATTGTGTGTCTGCCAGGGGTAGGCTGGGCAGCTCGTGGGGCTGGAAGACTAGCCAGAACTTTCCTGTCTCTCGTCGTTGAGCCCCAGGCCTGAGGGAAAGTATGTCCTAAAAGAGACAGGTGCGTTTGAAGGCTCCTGTGTTCCTCTCTTCCAGCACTAGCATCTCAGCTCAGGCTCTACTTTTGCGCTGGGTCTCATCTTTCTCTTCCCAGTACTTGAGCAGGGTCTTGTTTTGGGGGGTGTGGGTTGGCTGACACTACCGGGAAGGTGACACTAGCCGGGAAGGCCCACTACCTCCCTGGTGGAGTATCAGAGAAGGTCCCCATGTGAAGAAGCAGGAACAGAGCTGTAACGGGGCGCACCTGTTCTGATACGCCTGGCCAGGTTGTTGGGAAGAAGTGTTGACCTGAAGAGCAGACAGGTGCCTGGGAGGGGCTGACGTGGTGCCCGCGAGGCAGGGGCAGCAGGGGGGTCACAACCCAACCGCCCTGCTCGCTCAGCGCTCCAACTTCCAGTTCCCTTTGCGAGTTATTTCGTTTTGTTTAGAACTGTTTTGAATGTAAGGTCGATCTGACCACAGTACGTCTCTAGTGATTACCTAGATTGAACCAGCAAAAACAGCAGCTTAGGTTGGTGCCTTCTCTCTCTCACACATTCCGCGGGCAGCTTTCTCGAAGCTACAAGCTCAGCGGAGGACCACGGGGAAAGGTGCCGTACTAGGAGAGACCTTTCTCAGAAAGACACGCCATCCTGCAGCCGAGGCCACCACAGGCAGTGAACCCCGGTTTGCGTGCCTCCCGGGCATGGGTGCTACTGCCTCTCTCCCGTCCTAGGACTCACGGGCAGTGCCTGCTCAGGACCCTGGGCTGGCTGAGTGTCTAATCGACGGTGGAATTAGGGGAGGAGGGCGCTGCCGGGGATACACGTCTCTCCACTCCGCACGGAGCACAGCCTGGGTGGAGGAGGACAGGTGTCGAGACGGTGACTTAGCCTTTGGCCTAAAATGCTGTCGTCACAGTCTTCGTCACGCTCACCCTATCTCGTGTTTGACTTTGGCCGTGTACTTAGTAATCTAGCTTCAACTCACCCTAGAGGCGAGAGGAAGTGACGCGACTATGGCAGGAGAAATCTGGAAATCTGGAAATCCAAGGATAGCGCTAGCCTCTGGTAAATTCCATGTTTCTGGTCACTCTTATGGACAAACCATTCCTAATTCCCCAACAGCCATGGGTGCCCCGCTGCTTCCCGGAGGGGTTTGGAGATCTGAGGCATAGCATACAGAGCCCAGATCGCTGTGGGCTCGGGAGCCTCTTTCCCCGCGACCAGGGGAGACTCGGACTCTGGGGGACTCAGGCCGCGTGTGAAGGCCTGGCGCACAGCAGAGGTACCACCTCACTTCACAGGCCTGAGAGTGAAGCTGTGACAAAGCCACTCTATTTGTCTGGACCACACAGAGATATCACAACAAAGCAAAAGACAACATATTCTTAAGAACATTCCTCTTGTTCCTGTCCTTTTTGTTTGTTTATTTGTTTGTTTTGGTGGTGGTGGGAAGGCTTGGTAAAAATGAAGAGGGCTCCAGGGGAAAGCAAGAAGAACTAATGTTTGGATGCTAGGAAGGAGGAAAAGTCCTCAGTAAGAGGGTCCACTGGCTAAAATGCCCAAACACGAAGGATCTAAAGCTAGTGGACATCAGATAGCAAGGTGTGGAGCTGGTGGGAAGACATTCCCATCACCCCTGGGAGAGAAGGGTGGTTTACTAAAGCGGGCCGGGGAACATGCTTTTGTAAATTCACAAAGCTCTCTGGTCCGCTACAGGAGAATAAAGGGCAGAGAATAAACCCCAGACAAGGATTCACTTGTCTCGCGGACAGTGGTTGGAAATGGACTTCGATGCTAATGTACCACCTTTGAAATATTTCTGGCAGGAGCTCGGAGGATCCAGAGGAATGACCAAGTTACCTGCTGAGTCAGGGCCTCGTGGACTTTCGCGAGGAGGCACCACTGCCGTTTCTGCGAGGAACTCTAGCTGGAAAATGCAAGCTCTCAGCAGAGGAAATGCAACCTTCCCTTCTCTGGGCTAGAAGGGTGGTCGTGGTAGGCTGGGGGAAATGATGGCGTGGTCTCTCTCTGGTAGGCAGATCTGTTTCCTGAGTCCCTGAGCTGCAGCTGTTGAGATTCCAGACACAAACAAGTACGTATTCTGTGAGCGTCGCTGAGGCCACACAGCAAGGAAGAGCCAAGCTGGATTCCTTTCTGCTTTGCACATCAGCAGCCCAGCTGCCAGCTGAACTCCAGGGCAAGCTCTGCGCCTGGTAATGATGCAGAGGCTCTAGGTATGGCACAGCTGGACTGGCGTGGGTGGTTAATGGGGACACACCTGGCCTTGATTATTCGGGGGAGAGTGAGAAATGGAAGGAGATGAAGGGTTGCAGGAACATACGATCCATCCCAGTAAAGCTGGTTCACAGCAAGGACAGATCTAGCTTTCCTGGTCGTCAGCAACATGTCAGTGTGTGTGTGACTGTTTATGCTTAGGTAAGCCCAGCCTCCCACTCACTAAAGGCCGGCAGTCGGGGAAAAGTGGTCAGTGGTGTCCACGGCCACCGTGTAGAGTGTGCACCACAAGAAGACGACCAGCTGAGGGCACGGTACGGGCTGAAATCCCTGCCTGTTTGCCCTGCCTGTGTCCCAACGGCCCGAGTCCTCCCAGCGGGCACCTTTTCCTCATTTACACAAGGGCTCCATGTAGCATCCTCTCTGCCCAGGCCACTTTTTACTTGAAGGGGTCTTGAGAGAAAGCTAAAGGGAAGGACAAGGGGGGTGGGGTCAATGGTGACAGGAAAAGGGACGATGCAAATTTAGATATTTTCCTCCTTTTCCCTAGAATGTCATTTCTTGATGTCGTCTGTTCCTTTTCGCCCACTATGACCAAGGACTGAGCTCCCTCTACGCCAGACCATATGGAAGTCGAGCTGGGGGCTTCATCTGACCAGGAAGAGATGAGGTGACATGGAGGGAAGATGGGGTTTGGGAGGCTCTCAGGCAGGTTTCAGGTGGCTAAGTGGGGACGGTCAGGCTATGTAAAAGGGCTGATTGGGACGGTTGCAACTTGCCTGGGTCAAAAGAGTTGTGAGCGGGGAATGACATTTGGCGTGGAGAGAAGGAGCTGAGGTCATTGGGATGATGTTACTTGGAAACAGGTGCAGCATTCCTCAGATGCGAGGAGAATCTTGTATCTCTGCCTGGTCAGTATGTAAATGTGAGGATGAGGACATATGCAGAGTGGAGTGGCATGGGCTTTCTCGAGAATAACGTTTTGTTACCTCAGAGCTGGAAGTTCCCACTAGAGCAGTGGTTCTCAAAGTGCGGTCCCCAAACTAGCCGCCTCCACGTCACCTGGGAACTTGTTAGAAATGTGGATTCTCAGGCCCCTGACCCGCTGAATCGGAAACTCTGGGGTGAGGCGCAGCCATCTGTGTTTCAAGCAGCCCTTTAGATGACCCTAATGCCCACTGAAGTTTGAGAACCACTGGTCTAGATTATGCAGATAAAGACTTGCCTGAATGACCTGGATTCAGCAGACGTGAGAACTCGGGGGAGGCCTCAGAGGTGCAGGCAAGGTGCCAGCTTCCCTGGCTGTGCTCAAGGTGAGCCGACCTAGTTTTAGCCTCTGTCCTTGGGCCCTGGGTCCCCTGCTCTTTCCAAAGAAATACCGAACCAGATCAGACCACTCCACTGGCGCAAGATCACACTTTAGTTCAGAGACACATTTGCATAAATACTTGAAATGGATCCACCCCTGCAGGTGGGAGCCTGAGAACACGGGGCTCTCCACAGTCCTGCGACTCGCAGCCCTCCAGGCGATGGGTTTAATACTGAAGACACTCCTGGTCATTTCTGAAGAGAGTTCGGGGTGCAGCTACAGTGCTTGCTTTGACACTCACCATCCACCCCAACTCCACATCTCTCTTTGACTAATTTTTTCCCCTCTGAGGTAGATTATTTAACGAGGGAACCAAGTAGAAATAACTTTTTTCGTTTAACTTTGTTAGTCCTTTGCAAACAGGCTGACCGAGTCTTCTTTTTGGGTCCGTGAGAGCACTCTTTACCTTTCAACCTATGCCCTCTACTTGAACCCAAGCAAGGTCCAACCCACTAGATAGTAGACATTAGCATCTGTGGTCTGTCTCCTCTCCTCTCCTCCCCCCATGGATTCATGCCCAGCTGCAGCAGTGGGGGGCCTGGGTAGGCAGGCCACGCCACCCCCAGACGTGGGGTCACCGTAGCGTGACCCTGGTCTGCACCTCGCGCCCCGAGTCCATGAGCATAAGCCTGGCCCGCCCGCCGGATCACGGGGCGCACGGCTGGCTTCCGCACGGCTTGGCATCCTCAGGCTTCAGAGCCTCGTCGCAGGTGGTGGAGGCCTGGCCTCTGGGGTCGCGGCACTCCACCGCCCGCCGCTGCCAGCCGGCCCCGCAGCTGCTGGAGCACTCAGACCAGTCTCCCAGGACCCACTGCGCGTTGAGCAGGGGCTGGATGACGTTGGTCGTCGCTCTCTCTTTGCTGCTCTGTATGCTGAAGTTCACGTCATTAGGGACAAAGAAGGTATACTTGACTTTGGGGGGAAAGAGCTCCCCAGGGGCTGTCAGGAGCTGCACGGTCAGGGGCTCAGGCAGCGGCCAGAAGCTCTGCAGCCGCTCCAGGGAGGTGATGGAGCCGCTGTACTTGAGGATGGTGCCCTTCACCAGGATGTCCTGTTCCACGGCGGAGATGGCCAGGTTTCCATTGAGCAGGTACTGCCCGTCAGCGGTCTTCAAGGCCAGGTAGTTGCCGTCGTTCTGGATCCCTGGGTGGCTCCGCTGTTTCACGTCGATGTTAGTGGCGCCGGCTGGGATGGTGACGATGTCATTGTAGCCATAACTATGACAGGAAGACACCTTTAGGACCCGTGGCTCCCCAGCCCGGTACTCAAGAAGTCAGCATGCAGGGACTGGGGGTGGGCAGACAAAAGTCTGCAAGCAAATAAGGAAGTAGTCGCCCCAAAGTGCCCAGTAAATTAGCTGCGGAGGCCGACAGGAACACTTGGTACACCGGGACTTTTGCTTGGCCTGGGAGCTCTATCTCAAATGTTTGGAGTTTAGATCTCGACAATAGCACAGAGGGGAAGGCAGCCTAGAGGGGGTGAACGCTGAGCTGTTGCTGCCAAACCTGGGCTCTTGGCTGAAAAGAGATCTCAGGCACGTGCAGCGCCTTGCACTGGTGTAAACTTTGCTTGGCCACTTTCATCCCAGAGCTCACACCCATGTGGAAAAATCTGATCCACACACCGATTCCAGAAGCTGACCAGACGGACGCCTCACGCCACCTCTTAGAGTCCATCAGTTGCTGGTATTTGGTTATCGTGGCTCTAGGGCAGGGCGCAGGGCAACACAGCCTGCTCTGAGGAGCCTTCTTCTGGGCGTGCCCAGCACCATGAGCGGGGCTGTCTGGGGTGCTGGGATGCTGTTTGGGGAAAATGTTTCAACTTTATCGTGGGTCTGGGGCTTTATGTGGGATGGAGAAACCTTAATTCTTTTTTTTTTTTTTTTTTTTTTTTGTGGTATGCGGGCCCCTCACTGTTGTGGCCTCTCCCGTTGCGGAGCACAGGCTCCGGACGCGCAGGCTCAGAGGCCATGGCTCACGGGCCCAGCCGCTCTGCAGCAATGTGGGATCCTCCCGGACCGGGGCACGAACCTGCGTCCCCTGCATCGGCAGGCGGACTCTCAACCACTGCGCCACTGGGGAAGCCCAGCCTTAATTCTTATTCTTCTCTTTTGGGGTGGAAGTATTTGGCTTCGTAGGCTGGGAGGGGAGTGAGGAGGATTGAGGAGCACAGGCACGCTGCTCTTTGCTGTCCTTGCCTCGCGCCCACTGGGCAGCTGAGAAAGGACCCCAGGCCCCACGTCTAATGCCTGAGAGAGCTCTGGGAAGGGACTCAATGTCTGACTGTCCCACACCCCGTGCTTCTTTTTCCTATATCCTTTGAGTTTAAATTTGAAAAGACTCCTGAGTTGTCTGCCAAACAGGCGGATTCTGTTTTCTGAGGCTGATGAGAGGAGAGAGAGTGAGGGAGCCGGCTAGGGGCGCAGTGTGGCCGCAGGCCCTAGCCCTTCCTCCCCGGGAAGTGTGTGTGGGACAGGAAAAAACCGCCCGGGAATGGACAAACCTAGGCTCACCTCTGGCCGCCATGACCTACCACTGTGACCCTGGAAGAGTCATGTAATCTCTTTGTGCCTTAGTTTCCTCGTCTGTAAAAGGGGAGTAACGGTCTTGGCCCCAATAGACTTATTTTAGGAATCCGTCGAGCCCACAGAAGTGAAAGCACTTGAACAGATACAGGAGCTTTATGAACGTGTGGCTTTAAGGTGTGAGAAAGCGTCTGGAGTTCTCAGATCCATGAAGCCCCGAGGCTGCCAAGACCCCCCGTGGGCCCCCGTTTCTGAAGATCCACCTGCAGAAAGGGCAGGGCCCGCCAGATTAGGGTGAAATGTCCTTCCCACAGCAGGCCTGGAAGAGCTGCTTTCTGGCAAAGGTCCCGGTTACTCAGTGTAGCTCTACTGCCAGTTGACTCATAGAAGATACATCCCTATCCATGTGGCCTCTGGCTGCCCTGAGAGCCGTCATCTCTGCGGGCCAGACCCCAGGCCAAGTGCTCTGCCCATCTCGTGCCTCGCCACAGTGACTCTGAGATAGAGAGGATGCCGCGTTTTATGAAGAAACTGAAGCTCAGTGCTCCACGGGGATGGAGTAGCAGCCACAATTCAAACTTAGGCCCCTGTGACTCCAAAGCCCAGTCCGCTCAAGCAGCTAGGGACAGAACTTCTGGAGAGACCCACCTGGAGGGGTTGAGGGAACCGGACACCTTCCGGCACGAGTTGCCTTTGCCGCCGCACACGCCGCATTTGTCCAGCTTCCTAGGCGAGTCCACCACGTGGTCACAGCCAGCCTTGACACACTGGCCACGGACACAGATGGCCAGAGTCTCGGGCCCGCACAGGGTGCCGTCGATCACCTGCAGTGGGGGAGGGAGGGGGCGGTCAGAGGGCCCAGTGAGCACTGACGCCGCCCACTCCTGGGCTCAGGCCAGGGGGCCTTCCTCCCCACCTGTGCACCTGAGTTCCAGAAGGACCCTCACCTTGGCTTCGAACACTTTGAACTCACTCCGCCCCCGGGCTCGGCAGAACAGCTTGCAGCGGTCCCGGGGGGACACCCCTGCGTACTTGGGGACCCACTGCAGCAGGTTCCCATCCACGTCCGTGTAATTGTAGGCATTGTACTTCTCACACTGCTGCTCCCTGAAGCTTTTCCCTGAAATGAGGGCGAGAGGGCATGGAGCTAACAGGCTGAGCTGAAGCAAGGAGGACCCCACGGGAGAAATGCCGAGACTCCGGGCACCCTTCTTCTTCCCGGACTTGACCCAACCCGAGGACCCAGGTCCAGTGTCACCTGGGCCCAACTTTCCTAGACACCAACCTAAGGCCTGACTCACGGGGCAAGGAAAGGAGCAGCCAGCCTCAGCTGGGCTTTCTGGGGAAAATATCTTCCCGTTTGGGGAGAATATTAATTCTGCTTTACAGATGAGTAAATTTAGGTGGGGACGGGGGAAGCACGGAACGACACATGGAGTTATGTTTTTGGGCCTCTGCTGATCGTGATTTATCTTGACCTCCGTGGACATGTGGCCAAAGGCTCCCAGATCTACGTCTCTAGTTCTGACCTTGCCTCTCCACCCCACTTGCTGTAATTCTGGGTCTCTCTGGGGGAGCTCCATTTGTAAGATGCTGCAATTACCTCCAGCTCAGCGAGGCCCAACTCCATATGGTTTCTCCATATGAAGAACTGGCTGGGTTTTCATTTGGTGATGCTACCACATTCCAGCCTGAGACCGGAACCCTGGTATCTTCTGAATATTTGCGCATCTACATCCACTATTTCCAACCTGTCATTAAGTCCTGTACTCTACTCAGGACGATCTGTGATTTTAAATGTCTCCTTCCCACTGTCAGCATCTCAGTCCACTGCTCACAAGCCAAGGCCTGTGGTTTCCTGCGAGACTTGGTGCCCAGCCTCCGACACACAGCCTGCTTCCTCTCCCGTCCTGCTGCAGGCTGCCTCCAGAACAATCTGTCTGAATTAAGACCTGGGTTTTTCCCTTCCACAATCCTGAAGTTAAACCCGCTCTTACTACCGAGGCTCTCCACGCCAGCTGCACATCTGCATGGTCTGAGGAGCTTCAAATCCCAGGTGGCCGTGCACTCCTCCTGAGATTCTGAGTCAGGACACCTGAGGCGTCTGGGCCTCTGTGTTTGGAAAAGCTTCCCCGGTGACCTGATAGGACAGCCAGCACAGAGAGCCTCCTGAGGCTATCTTAGCTTTTACACACCCTTGGCTGGCCTGGAAACGCTGGCCCACTCTGCCCAGCTGTGCCCTGGGGGGGACCCTAGCCCCCATCGCAGCGCGTCCTCCTGCACTTCATCACCGTCTCAGCCCTCCGGGCCCCGCTCAGCCCTGGCTCCCCAAGAAGCTTCTGGCCAGGCCAGGCCTCTCCTCGCTCTGGATTCCTTGTCGGTCTGGGGTCTGTGCCTCACAGATTGACCTTTAATTGCTCTGTAAAAGGGGTTTGGATCTCTAATAAGATCTGCACATTCCCTGAGGACAGAGAACATGCTTCTTATGCCATTATAACACCTATTCCAGTTCTATCCACACAAGAGGCACCAAAACACTCACTGACTGAGATGGCTGGTCCCGGTGCACCTGAAATCATGGTATTGCCTATAGTCCGTGTCTACCTCATGCCTATATTCATTCCCCTCCCCTCTTTCTCTCTCTCATTCCCCCAGGAACGCTTCACCCGTGTGCCAGGCAGACCCTCACAGTTCCAGGGCAGAGTTTCTAGAGCTTCGTGCCGTTACTGATCTTCCTCATCTTGCAAAACTGCAGAGCCTCCAGATTCCCTCATTAGACACCATTCCAATGCCAGTGCGCCTCTGCGCTTGGATGCATCTCTCTGCTTGTCGTTTGCTGCCTGCCAATACTTCCTGGGGCTGCACAAGGGGAGCTGGATGGGATGGTGGGGAAAAGACCTGCAGTGGTTTGCTCTCACACCGTCTGCTGCCCCTGCGTTAATGTGTGGGCTTTCCAGCAGGCACTGGGGAGGACGTCCCCAGGAGAGGCAGAGGTGGGGCTGCTTCCCAAGAAGGGGCTGCCAGGCAGTTACCACGCTCCAAGGGGAGATGGGCAACTCTTCTCAGGGGGAATGCGCGCTAGGGTCAGATGCAGAAATCTTCCCTCCGCCCTGAGCTGGATGTTGGCTGGAAAGATATTGGAGGTTTGGCTCTGACCCTGGCTTTGGAAAACGCCTCCATTCTGCATACAGACGAGGGTTCAGACGTTATCCTAGACACTCGCCCCTCTGCAAAGCCCTCCCCCAGCTCTAATGAGTAAGTTTGGTTGGGAGTGACGCCCTCCATCTCCGCATCTTGGAAGACCAGGGCAGTGTCTCTCCTCGACTTTGCCAGGCTCTCCCCAGACAGGGAGAGCGGTCCTGGGTCGCCAGGGGCTGCTCTAAACCACTTATTTCTGCACCCAGGAAAGCTCTGCGTCCGGGAGACCCCCGCAGTCCTCTGGGGATCTGCTGCAGGCAACACAGCAGCTGCTCTGGCTGGTGTGGCGATTACCATCAGGGGGGCACTCCTCCGTGTGGCACGATTGGTACTTGGCTCTCTGACCCAGGCAGTATCTCCCTCCGTTCTGAGGCTCGGGGTCCTCGCACTCGCGGTGTGAAAACTGTACCCCTCCTCCGCAGGTCCGTGAACATTCTCCCCAGGGTCCCCACGGGGACCAGCCTCCATCCACCACGGCCTGCAACACACAAGGCTGCGCTGAGTGGGGAGCAGAGGGCAGGAGGCCTCGGCTCTTGGTGTGACCTCCTCACCTAGTTGCGCCCGTCCTAGCGCACGCAGTTTGGTAAACTGCCTGATTCACCTGTGCAGGGGCTGTGTGGCCCGTGCAGCCGCGGCTCCCTGATCACAGTCTGTGCTGGCCTTGCTCGCGGCTGGCCCCCTGGTGTCTACAACAGTGCCCTGCCCTTTGTAAGGTGCTCAACAGGAGTTGCTGCGTGAAACACTTTTACGGGAATAAGGTTGGGTCTAACACAGCGGCTCTCCATCAGCCGGGACACGTGGCAGTGTTCGGAGACCCTGCGGTTGTCCCAGCTGGGCAGGGCGTAGGCTGCTGGCCTCGAGCGGGTGGCGGGCAGGGTGCTGCTAAACATCCAGCCACGAGCACGACAGCCTCCCACAGCAGGGACGCACGCAGCCCAGATGCCACCAGTGCTGAGGCGGGTAAGTTCTGATCTAAAGGACTAAGCTCTAGGAGGTGTGGCCACGAGTCTGCCAGCTGCCAGGTCCAGGGGTAGGATGGTGCTGGGAAATAAACTAGAGTGGCTTCCAACTTTACAACTGACCCTGAGGGCAAGGCATTGCCTTGGGTGGGTTCGTTAAGTTTTCGAAATGAAAATAATTTTTAAAAAGTTGCAGAAGTCATACGTGCTCATAGAAAAAATGAAAAATACAGAAAGGTGTAAAAAAGAAAGTAACGCTTACAAAATACCACTACCCAGATGAAACGACTGACATGATTTTCATCAATATCCTTTTGTACCTTTGCTCTGACTATAGAATCATGAAGGTGCCAGGTTTTATTTTACACAGATATGATTCTGTCATATACATACATATATATATATATATATATATATACACAGTATTTTATGATCTGTCTTTTCCCCTTAAAAATAGGTGATAAGCATCATCCCGTGATCGTTTTCTGGCCACCTTTCCCTGTACTGGGCTTGGCTGTGGTGCTGGGAAAGGTTGGATGGGCTCCCTCCCTGCCTCTCCCCTCAGGAACGTGTGAAGCGCACGCTATAGGACAGGGTTGGGAGAAGCTCAGTGTCGGGGTGTGGGCTGGGAGGGGGCTGAGAATGAATCCGTGGATCCCGTCCCAGCTCAGGCTTAGAAGAAGCATGTGGTTTCCCCGCCCACGCGGGCTCCCGGACCTCAGTGCAACGGCAGCACCCCCGAGGACAGCCCTGAGGAGGGTGAGCGCACAGGCCACCCTGGTGATTCAGAGCTGGGCTGGGCCCAGGCTGCGAACCCGGTGGATGCTGTTTCACAGATGGCTCAGTGACTCGCCGAGAAATGTGATCAGCCTCACAGTTCGGATGTATTAAGAGCAGAGGGCAGAGAAGCAAATCATTTAAAAACTCTCACTGGCATTGCCTTTTTGTCTTTGCCAGGTTTTCTCTGCCTGGTCAGAGGTGACTCTGATTCCTCCTTCCCTCCTCCTTGAGCAAGGAGTTCCCACAATTACTCTCACCCTCCCGACCCCTAGGTATGCATTCGGCTCCGACACGGGTAGGATGTGAATACCTTCCCCTCATTCTCGATTGGATGTCCCTCCTCTGCTGTCACGCTACCTGTTTATAATAGAATTCATAACGGCTTCTGTCTGTTGCGTGCCCACGACTGCTCTTGCGCTGGAGCGTTCCACACCTAGCACCAAGCCTCACAGGCCTTCAAGTCGACTCCGCGGCAGCCCCACAGGCGGAGTCCCCCAAATGCCCGCAGCCCTGCTGACGTCATCCATCAGTCTTGAACAGCTCCTCTCGGCTTTAGATAAATATGCTTTGCTTTGTCCAAAGGTGAGTGATTTTCCTCATAGTTGCCCCTAGGCCCAAAGTTTCTTAGTTCACGGCTCTCAAGTGTGGTTTCCTCCTTGGAAACAGCCCTCCCCCTCCCTGTCCCGCACTCCCAGTGGCCGTCCCTCACCTTGGGCTTCTCTACTTCCTCCTCAGGCAGGCAGCTGCCACCCAAGCAGAGGCTCCCGGGCCCGCAAGGCGTCCCGTCCGCCCAGGGCAGGCTGCCATTCTTCGTGTGGCAAAGGGGCTCGGCGCCATCCATGTGGCACCAGAGCTGGGCACAGATGTCCTGAGCAGAGGTGTTGGGGCAGTGGCGGAAGCCCAGCCCAAAGATCTGCTTGCACTGTTGGTCCAGCTCGTAGAGGGCCCTGCGGCCTGGGAGGCCTGTGGGCAGAGGCAGGGCCGAGGTAGGGGCGTCCAGGAGACAGTCTCCTGTGGAGGAAGCAGAGAAATAGGAAGGAGGGGTCCCGCCCCCCCAATCACACTCGAGGACTCCTTGACCTCCGCCTACAAACTGTCAGCACTCAGTCACCCACAGAAGCTCCTCCAAGTTTTGACTATCGGTAGCAAGTTTTTGTTTTAAGGGTTGCGTTTCTTTTGGTATCCAGAACATCTTATACGCATTCAGTGTTTACCGAGGGAAGGCCAGCTAAGCGTAACACTAACCTAGGTCACAGTATAATTGCGGATGTAAATGGACTCCTAAAAACCAGGCCAGGAGAAATAAAGCCAAAGTATTGATGTTGGACAATCTACTATTTTTGTATCAAGCATCAAGAAGCAGTTGTGTTTTCACTGCCCTACTCAACAAGCCAGGCTGTCTTCACCAAGCACCTCGCCCCACTCCTCGCCCTCACGGGGCGCTTCCTGCCTCGCTGCCATTTGCACGCTACCCCTGTGATCTATCGCTCCAGCCAGAAGCTCCCTTCTCCCCTCTGCACGACAAAAATTCTTCCATTCCTTCGAGCTCTGTTCGAACCCACCTCCTCCAGACAGATCTTCTCAGACTCCTTCCACCTGCCCTGTGGGTTAATCTAAAGGGGCTGCTGGAAGCTGGGCCAAGGAAGGGCATGCTCTGTGCAGTGGTCAGAGCACTGAGCCCGGCGGGGTGGCGGGGACACAGCTCCTGAGTCTCCCCCAGGCCGAGACGTCTGCGCTGCAGGTGCCGGCTGCTGGCCGGGGAGGAGCCTGGGGGACCTACCGTGCCCGCCGTCCAGGAGCTCCGTGAGGTACATGGCGCTGCAGGGGGACCAGGGCAGCGTCTCGTTCAGGTGGACGAAGAGGGGCGCCATCATGTGGTGCTTGCCCAGGGGCCCGAAGAGCCGAGCACAGGGCTTGGAGTCGTCGTGGGGCATGCTGAGGACGTGCCCTGGGGAGGACGAGACCCGCGGTCCACCCAGCGTCGCCACTGCCCTCAGCCGTCCGCCCAGGGGGCAGAGGGCCTCTGAAGGCCTACACAGCGCCAGCTCCTCGAGGGACCACCACGGCGCTGCACTTATTCCTCAGAGACTCTTCCCGGCCCACCCTGCCTGCCTCTTCTCTCCCAGGAAGCTTGCTCAGAGCTCCAGGAACACCGGGGTTCCTTTATTTTCTGCCGGGGCCTGTGTGGATTCACACTCGTGTCAGTCATTCGGTAGCTGACCTTCCAGAATCCTGACTGCTTAGCCGGGATGCGGCCCCATGGCTCTACCCGAGCGCTGGCATTTCCCTGGTGACCTCCGAGGATGGCCCCGTGCTCAGGGTGGGGGTGGAGACAGCACGAGGGCAGAGTCACCCTGCCGGAACGAGGAGGGGTGGCCCCGAGAGGCGGCAGGGTCCTGGGGGGGCCTCGCTGGCTGGACTCGGGAGGGCCGGTCCTCCCACCCGGTCCAGCAGCCCAGGCCTCTGGCGTGGCGAGCCTTACCGAGCTCGTGGGCCAGAGTGTAGGCCGCCTGCAGGCCCTCGTCCTCGATCACGGAGCAGCTCTTGCTGGGGTCACAGATGGTGCCAATGTCCGCCACGCCCAGGGTGTCACACAAGCCCTCCTTCCCGCAGAAGTTCTGCTCGCGGAGAGAGCGGGACGTGAGGACAGACACAGGACGGAAACCCTTCCCATTCGGAGACGCAGGACACGTTTTAAGCCAAATCCCTGTTTCTCCCCAAAGGCCATTTCTCCTTCTGTGTCGGCATGTCCTCGGGCTGCCGGAGACTCACAAAGCTTGTCCCGGGAGGTGGGATAGCCTGGCGGTGGTTAAGGGTGTGGACCCCACAGCGAGGTGGCCGGGGCCTGACTGCGGGCGCTGCCACGGGGCGGCAGCTCTGTGCCTCGCTTTCCCCAGCTATAAAGTGGGGCTAAAAAACGCAGCACTCGCCTTGGGGTTGTGCGTGCGGCCTGGGGGGTGAGCAGGGTCTCCACACGTGATCACACTTGCTGGCCTTCAGGAAGCCATCTGTTTAAACCACACCAGGGAGATGGGCAGGCCTCCTGCCGTTGGGGAAATCTTGAGGGGACCCCCGGTTACCTCCACCGCCTTTAACCCCCGCTGCAGCTGGACCTCCTGTCTTAGCTCCAGCTCCACGTCGCTCTCCGGGCAGTTTGAGCCCGTTTCCTCTTGTTATGACCTCAGCAGACAGCTGCTCACAAAGTTCTGGAGCAGAGCCCCCACGAATTCCTCTCCTTCCCTCGCAAATAGCTCGTACACGTCCTCGTGACCTCCCCCTTCTTGTCCACGCACGAGGCTCCTGGTGTCTGGCTGGGGCCAGCAGGGGGCCGGTCCCCGTGTCTGGGCGGCCATGGCCCCCTCGGCGCGCCCTCCCACCCCGCCCCCGGTTCCCAGGGGCCCGCGGACCTGTCTGGTGAGCAGGATGGCCGTGTCAAAGTGCTCGGGGTGCCGATCGCTGGGCTGGTTGAAGCGCCGCTGCCAGCGGCAGAAGTTGCGCAGCGTCAGCCCGCCGTTGTCGGACACCTCGGGGCCCCATCTCTCATCCTCCACGATCAGCACCTTCACCACCATCAGGTTGATGGAGTTCCTGATGCTGGGGTGCTTGTAGATGTGGGCCGCCACAGACATCAGCGTCAGGACGTGGTTCTGCAGGAAGGAGGGGTGGAGAGGGAGGGGTAAATCTCCTGGCTGCCGCCCGCCCCTGCCGTCACGCCGAGTTAATGCACCCTGTGTGCTGGGCATCGGTACGCAGCACCTCGGTGAAGGCTCCCAAAACCCCCGAGGCCCTGGCATCACCTCCCTTCACTGTACATATAAGAAATTCACGGCTCAGTAGGTGGCCCAAGGTCCCAGAGCTAGTGTGTCAACCAGCGTGTGAACCCAGAACACCTGGCTCCAAAGCTTAAGTGTTTAACATCCTGACCAGCCACATGTGGCCACGGACATCTAAATCCATTAAAATTCAATAAAATTAAAATCCTAGCTCCTCTGCCACACTGGCCACATTTCAAGAGCACCAACGGCCGTGAATGGCTTGTGGCTACTGCATCGGACCGAGCAGACAGAACATTTCCATCATCACAGAAAGTTCTTCTAGTGGACTGCACTGGTTATTCTACCTTAACCCTGACACCAACCGTCTCCCTGGCAGCCACGCATTCCCTCTCCGCCCTCAGCCCAGAAGCAACTATCTGAGCGCTCAAGGTTAAAATCCGTCGAGAATTTTCCTGATGTCTGCTGGGGCAACCCCTACTCTTCAGGGTGGGAAAACTTTGCTCTGATGACCACTCCTAACAATAGCTCCTCTGCACCAGTCACAGACGGTACACGTGTCACCTCATTAAATGCTCACAAAAACTCTGGGAAGTAGGGATTGTCATCCCCATTTCACGAACGAGGAAGTGGAAGTTCTCGCAAGTTAAATAACTTGTCTACAGCCGCACAGCTCTTAAAGCCGGAGTGCCAGCCCAAGCGTGTCTGTCTCTGAGGTCTACACTCTTCTCAGTAAGTCTCCCAGGGCTTGGCCCCCTGGCTTCTGCCTGGACAGCCCAGAGGGTTTATTCCCCTCTGCCTGGGGTGGGAGAGAATCGGGTGGGTCGCTGAGACCCAGGCGCTCAGCCTCCCACTGCTTCCGGTCCCACCAAGGCCAGCTGAAGGAGTTGACATCGGTGCTTGGCCTCTGCCCCAACCCTGGGCTGCCAACTGCTCCCAAGGCTTTGGGGGAGGCCAGATGGGGCTCACTCTTCTGCCTCCAGGGCCTCCAGAAGGGAGTCCTCTTGGATGACTTTGCAGAACAGGAGACGAATGGGGCAGAGGCATACAGGCCTTCAGGCCTCCAGCCAGCCCTCCTCCCTGCTCCCTAGGGCACCACCTCCTGTGGCCTCTCTTTCTTCCCTCCTGTGTTCTGGAAGGTGGGAGAAGAAGGAAGGAAAGGAGGGTGAAAGGCTAGAGACGGACATTCCATGGGCTGAGGCCATGTGTGGGAGTTCTAGACGAATCCCACTGTTGGTGAATGGGATCTGTCTGTTCACCTCGCAGGCGACCAGCCAGATATTTTGTAAGTTAAGCCCTACAAACAGGGGTTGGCAGGTTACTTAGTGTGTCAAGCACTCCAGCTATGTTTAGGCTGATGTAAACATCTTATCAGCAAAGCTGAAACTTGGCACCAGCCCCTGGAGCTGGATTCCTGAGGGAAACAAGCAATTACATCAGTATGCAACTGGGGGCGAGGGCTGAGGAGCGGCAGCTTTTGCTGGGGTTACTTCCTCCAGGCCTCTGCTGCGTCCGGGGCCTCCTACCCCAGGAAGGACCAGGGGCCAACTCCGGGAACTTCTTCCGAGACAACCTGAAACTCTCCTCACAGGAGGCCTTCCTTTCAGTCCCACCTTCACAATTTCATAACTGGGGAGCTGATGTCTTACAAAGAAGGTGTGAAGATGAGAGATGCCAGATGCTCCGAAGCAGTCCCCGAAGGCTCAGAATGAGGAACTGAAGACCTAAGGTTTCGGAAGGGTCCGGTTCCCAAGCTGCCTGGTCAGACTAGCAGAGACCATGTGATGGGCGCGTCCCCGACGAAAACCAGAGGTGCACACGTACAGACTGCTACACAAAGGCCGGCACGGGCGCGCATCCCGACACCGAGGTTCCTGGAGTCTCCTTGCTTGAGTTCAGGCAGCTCACGGCATCTTCTCCCGACACCGAGTAACAACTAGGGGGCCGAGCTGGCTTGAGAGCCATTTCCCTTCCAGGAGGTAGGTTAGACGGGAGGACATTTGAAGGTCCTTCTGGCTGCTTTCTCAGAAGATAATTCCCATCGCAAGAGGGCTGCCAGGACTGTGTGCGCCAGAGTTTCTGTTCAAGTCCCCAGTCCTGGTCTGGCTCACCTCCCCTTCTGTCTTGCCTCACTGCACTTTTGGGGACG